TTCCAACCTAGACGATTCTATGATTCTATGATTCTAAGTCCTAAATGTCTCTGGAAAGGATAACTCGACACTTCTTTTGTGTCTTACATGCATTCTCCAAGAATGGGGAATGCCATTGGTGGTAGAATACTGAGAAAGAGGGACCTTTTATACATCTGTTCTTGTCTCTTCTAATGAAGAGAGGACTATTGGTTTGTGCACTGCTCATTTGATCACAAAATATTCCTGTCACCTGGTAGACAAAATTGATTGCTTTGCTACCAATATTTAGGGGAGTCTATATCATGCTGTGACAAAAATTCAGCAGCATATTTTTTTATTTACTGTAGTTCACTCATAAATGTCAAGATCCCTCCCCACCATTATTAACCAAAGGTCCCAAGTGTTACATAAAACACCTGGATATTTTCACATATCCAGGATATTTAAGTAGAGTCTCACTGTGAGAAAAGGTACACAGCTGGAAATTAGCAATTGTGCAGGAAAGGAGTAAGTTTTCACAGGGTCATCTTTGTTTTACAGTCTGAGGCTTCAGGGAGAGGTAGCCCTGATTGTTTGTTAAAGCTCAGCAAGCTGTAAACTGGCAAATCCCATTCCTAACTATGCACTGATGGTGGGCAGGAGACTCACTCTGCGTGCAATGTCACATGGAGTTCCCTTTCAGCAAATGCATCCTAGAGACACAGCTGCTTTAAGACTAAATCAATTCTCCCTGGTGCAATGTCTCTGGACTATGAAGCCATTAAAAAAAATTGGTTGGCCCATCGTCGAGAACCTATTTTAAGAAGCTGTGCATAAGCACCCATAGAGCTAAGTGTGTTATGCAGGTTTCATGGTGACATCTAAAGCAGGGCTGTTGCCTTTGTTTTTCTTATGGGAAGTCTTGGTCATTCTGCCCACAGATCACCCTCGCTACGATCGGGTATGGTGACAAGACCCCCAAAACATGGGAGGGACGGCTGATTGCAGCTACGTTCTCTCTCATTGGAGTATCTTTCTTTGCTCTTCCTGCAGTAAGTACCTTCCCCCTCCTTTGTTAGGGACAGCCCAGCGCTGTGCACTTGCAAAAAGAAGGTAAAGTGATCAAAACTGCCAGTGGAATCAAAATCCCTTTTTAAGAAGTGATTCAGACACTTGAGCTGGTCTATATCAGTAAATCAAACTCCTTTCTTCCCAACAGTCTGGGAAATCACAGGGCATTTCATGAGCCTGTATCCTGGCCCAGGTTAGTTTACTGGTATTGACATAGCCACACAAGATGTATTTTTACAGGATAAGTGGGCCGTTGCTTTAATAATTAGGGTTGGGCCCATCTTACCCAACTCTAAACACTCGCAAGCTAGAGATCTACATCTGAGTGATCATCACAGACAAGTGGTCATCCTTTATAACCAGTGCAGCTCTGCAGACCATTTCATCTCACCTGTTTCCCTTCCTTGCTGGAGGAGATTTCTGACACCACCACAGAAGTGTTGTTTCTACCCACTAAGATTAAAGGGAATTTAGATAGCAGGTGACAGTACAGGTATTTTTGATCTAGCCAGGTGAATCCTACTCTGGCTGCTTAAGAAATGATCTCTAAATTGCTTTTGAAAGTATATTTGTTCTCTTGTATTATATATGGCAAATATTTGCCTCATCTGCAAAGTCCTCAGGTAAGAATGAGACAAGATCTAGGTGAGATGGACCAAATAGTAACAGAAACCATCCCAAGTCCAGATTTTAGGATATTTTTCCTTTAGATCGAGACTTGGAAAGAATTTCACAGAGGATGGGAAGAGCATAGCTCTTTTATCACACAAGCACAGTTTTGCCCTACCCTGAGTGGAAAGTAGTACACCACCTGGACACCTTCAGCTTTGAAAGGCAGTAGACATTAAAGAAGCCTGTTGAGAACCTTAAAATGATTTGGTGTGGCCTGTGGCCCTTGAGAGGATCATGACAAACTCACATCTCATGAGCAGAGAAGTGGGAAAGGCATGCTGTACTGCACAAAGGTCCCATGTAGCCATATTCATCTCCACCTACAGACCTTTTTTCCTCTCATTATTAATCCATTTTTTGAGTAAGAAATGTCTAAAATCTTGCATCACTCTATGCTTTCAGGGCATTTTGGGCTCAGGGTTGGCACTGAAGGTCCAGGAGCAACATCGTCAAAAACATTTTGAGAAAAGAAGAAAGCCAGCAGCTGAACTCATTCAGGTTTGCAGCCACTTATCCTCTCCTTGAAAAAGTGTTGTGTAAAAGACTGCTGCATCATGTTAACAACGGCCACTGCTTCCCCCTTGCCCAAATTCTCATTTCCCATTGCAGGAGGTGGGAAGCTGTGTTTATAAAGGAGTCAGTTTTTTCCATTGAGCTAGATAATCCAGTGGTCCTTGCAGTTTTTGAGGAATCTTTCAATTCCCAGAATATCTTTCAGAAGAACAGTGTCTTTAGAAGAAAGGGTCTCATCTGCTAGCTTCTGGAAACCAACCAACTTCTGCATCAGTGCCACAGAATCACAGAAAATAAGCTGCCAAAAACATGTTCTTCCCCAAATCCAGGTTTTGTCAGTTCCCTTGCGAGAGTGCCTTTATGTGCAAACAAAGTTATGTTGTTATTGATGTGAAAACAGCAATAGAAGTAACACAATAGACAGTGACAGTTTCAATCAAGGCAAATGACGTAAATAGTGTGTGTGGTTTGTAAAAACTGAAGCACACCCTGGATTTCCTGTTACATCACTGGATGATCAGAGGATTCAATGGGAAGAGAGTCCTTAGCTCACTTGGACTTCAGTTATGGTCTGTGTTATGAGTTCAGAAAACTAAGCTTAAAATTACCAGTCTGGGGGCTTACAGATTTGACAGGAGTTACTCTTAATAGGCGTGGAGCACACCCTGATTGCAGTGAAGTAAATGGCAGCATTTCCACAGAGGGACAGAGGAAGTTTCTGTGATATCAGATGGAAGTGTTGGTGCTCAGACTGCTCAGGATCAAACCAGTCCCCAAGAGAAACAGGCTGAGTGGCATATAACACTGTTCTCATTAAAAACACTCCTTAGCAAACAGAAGGGGCTGCTGGCATGAGTGGTGAATTGAATTGACCTTTTAAATTAAAGCATCTCCAATTAGCAGGTAGCTAATTTAGCTACAGTATTTTTTAGGTATGTGCTTAGAGAATTTTGATCAGAGCTAAATGCTGAAATAGAAAATAGCTCAGCAAAATTTCCTCTGATGGTGCATTAGATAGTAACCTAGCTTAAGCACTTCCAGAAATATTGGAAATATCCAAAAGTGTTTGAAGCTCTTTTAGACATACCAGACAGGAGAATAAAACCAGTTTAGTCTTGTCGATGTTGGTGGTTCTCTCTCATGACCTGTCTCCTTTAACAGCCCTCCCAGATCATAATCCAGTGTCAATAATTTTGTCTTACAGTGCTACTCGTTAGGTATGGCTGATTAGTAATTAATTTCCAGATAGTCACTCAGGTGCATTTTTATGTTCTTTGAAAGAATCTGGCTGCTGTCAGCCTGGAGAACAGCTTCACCTAACACTAATTATTTCCCCTCCCTTGCAATTCAGGCTGCTTGGAGATACTATGCTACTAACCCCAACAGGATTGATCTAGTTGCTACCTGGAGGTTTTATGAATCAATTGTATCATTTCCATTTTTCAGGTAAGTGCATTGTCCACCTCTCTATCATCATTTTCTGTGAAGTATAAGTCAGGAGAGGAAACATAGACTTTATATATATCAATGAGGCTTTTGTAGGTAACAGAGAGTTGCCAGTTAACTTCCTGGCTGAGACTGAAAAACATGCTTTTTTGTTTTCTGGATCCATTTCTTCTCCCTCCCCCTGGTGGTATATATTAGGGGCACATGGATAACTCCACCAGTGGCTCTCGTGTTGGCATTAAACAAAGGAGAAGGCTGCCTCAGCATCAGCTTCCCTTTGTAAGATTCTGGAGTTTATTGCCCTGGACATCTCAATCTCTTCCTCTGTAATTTTTATCTTGATGAAGTTTTAGCCCTGGGTTTCAGAGGCATCTGTACTTCTCTCATGCTCTATGATGCAGTTATGTATTTTAAGATATGAATTATGCTGAAAATTCTTACTTTTCCCTCTTTAACTCAACTAGCCTGAGAATTGTGTTGTTCACAGAGGTGGCCATGGCATGTGAACATAATTAATGCTTGTTAAATGCTTGTCTTTTGGCAATGCTAATTGCTGAAGGGAATAATTCAGTGGAGGACAGTCAAAGCATGTTTAAAACTGTCTCCCACTGAAACTGTTAACTGAAAGTTCACAAGGAAACTTTTTTGGGCAGTTGGGGTCATGGTTTATTTTAATCACCACTTCTGAATTCAGTGGAAAACATTCCATACATAAAGACATTCAGACTTAATGGACACTCATATGTTTATGGATATGAGTCTGTCTGTTCCTCACTTTTCTTGCCTGTCAAACAGGCACTTTCCTCACCTTGAGTTCTTAATATTTTAAAACATTTGCCCTATGAAAGGCAAGAGTTTTAGCTATAGACTATCAGCTGTTAATAATGAGTATTATTTATACAAGTTTATGCTTTAAACTTTCATTCTGGACTTGCTGTTATTCCTCACTTAGACAAAAAGTGCCCTTAAACTACTGCTCAGCTCAAACAGAGGTCTCCACATGTAAATTGTGCTCACTGCTCTAACTGCACCGCCAGCTGTTGCTCAAAACTGACTTGAAGAAACACTTCAGGCTCCCACCTTCACAAAGGGCAAATTACAAATATTAACTCTTTCTTTGTTTTATTCACAATGTATTTCTTTAGGATTGATTTCACTTAGGTCAAAAAGGAAACCTCTAAGAAAAAACACCACAAGTGTTTAATTAAGGCTCAGTACATTTCTTTCCTTTTATTTATCCCTTCTCACTCTCTATCTATTCCCACATTATCCATTGTAGAGTCATTTCTAGAGGGTTTCTTGACCTCAGGTTTTGTTCAGAGAGTAATTCTCAGGCTTGCCTAGAGTCTAGACTCATTACCGTGACTTCAAGCTTGTTCATTGTATGTAGGTTCTTCAATGTGTGAATGGTGATTCAAATGCAGCCTGAAATTTAATAGGTGTTTTGCAAATAAGGTCCTGGGAGAGATGGCAAGGGAGTTCACTTCTCACCAAAGACTATATTGCCAGTCTAAGCAGCACAGATCGGTTTCAGGAGTCTGTATCACTTTCTTTGCTTTATGGCTAGTTGAAAATGTCGATTTTATTCTGCTGTTAATTATGGTCACAGAACAAAAGATGTATAAACCATTAGCAATGGATTAGAAATTTCTGTTTAAAAAGATCTGCTGAATTTATTATGTAATTCTTCTCTCCCTGCTTTCTTGTAATGCTTCCTCTCTTCTATAAAAGGAAAGAGCAATTGGATGGTACTGCCAGGTACGTAGCTGCCATTATTATAGCCTTGTTTTAATACAGTTATTGGAGGATGCAGGTTAAATGGTTCTTTGTGGATTCGTGAGCTGTTAACCAAAACTTGCTACTAACACCACAGGTAGTCATTAAAAATGATTAACCAATCCATTTCCTAATTGCTTGCTTTTTTCCCAATTTAACAACACAGCTAAAATGCTAATCGTACAAATGCAATGTTGCTTGCTGATTGTATGTAAACAGCTTTATTGTTTGTTATGATCAATCACGGTCTAGATTTCTCCTGACCCATACCATAGAACCAGGGTTTAGAATCCAGGATGTTCTGGGGTGAATTTAAAGTTCTGCTTCATGTTATTGCTCAACAGTCCTGCACAGAGCAACATTGCCATGTAAGGTGTTAAGTCTGTGTCAATTCACCACGTGCAGATTTCTTGGCGATAAAAACTAAGATGGATGGCTAAGATGGATCAGCAGGATAGTCAATCTCTCTGGCATTACTAAAAAAGCTACATTAGGTCTGAGGCCTTGGTCCTACCCCTGCTGAAACAGATGAGAAAGTTCCCAGTCACCTTGGGGAATTTACAAGCAAAGAGAAGGAAGGAATCATTGATCTTACTACTGGTCAGTCACTGAAGTCTACAACAGAGCAGCCATTGTCAGTCAACCTGCAAGATCTCAAATGGAAATGATGTATTTATAACCCCCTCCAGCTAAGTTGCAGATTCAAAAGGACATAAAATAATTCAACCTCTTAGGTCGAAAATGTGAAATACTTAATGCTAAGCTGCTATCAATGGATCACCCACAATGAAAGTCAATAATAATTAAAGGATAAATAGTTCCACAGACTTATGCTGAAGCTATTTCCATTTGCATCCCCACTTATAGTCCAGAGAAAAAGAGCAAGACTTGTAGCAAAATTTGAAAACTGTTAGTCAGAGGTCAGGCCTGGGTTCCAGTCCTTGGTCTGATGAAAAGTTATCTTTTTCTTTTTGTTTTTTAAACATTTCATGCAACACATGACGGCTTCCTTTATTGAAGCTGAAAAAGCCAGGTTCGTACTTGCTGTTCTCCTATGAATTTTGGGGGGTCAAACGTACTTTAACAGAAAAGAAAAACCTATGGCAAGTTTTCTTACGATACAGGCAAGTGCTGTAGTGCTGAATTATTGGGAAAAAATTACTTCCCCCTCCTGCCACCATCCTCACGAGCTAACCTGCTCCTCTTCAAAGACTGCCTGGATGGGAGTTACCTAGTTTGTGAACCCTCATGAACCTTAAATACTATGCATCCATGGCACTGCCCAGGCTAAGCAGTCAGGAGCATGGTGAGTTGCATTAATGTAGATGTCTGGAGATTTTAGCCATCTCCAGGGTTGGCAGCAGCTGAATTTTGGCCTTTAATATGCAGGAGAGAGCTTAGGAGCTGAAATTCTTTTGAATATGTAACTCCATACCTTGAGCCAAAATGTGTTCTGACTCAGATGCAGCAGCAGATTAAAATTAGGAAAGTAAATGATTGCTGTAGTTTGCTGTTGGTCACAGCCCCCCTAGAGAAGCTCCTGCACCTGCAGTGACAGAACAGTTAATGGAGTAGCTTCTGAGTTACTGTATTTTTCAGGCCAGTAGAAGAAGTTATTTTCTGTTGAACCACTGGATTAAAAACAGAAAAGTATGACTCAGCTCAAAATCTTTAAAACTGTAATCCCAAGGCCCCTCATTCTAGCTGGATATATCTTGCTTTTATATTGTTACATATGTAATAACCTTCAGCAAAATCATCAGTAAACCTGCAGTGGAGC